CCTATACAGTGGACCCTTGGTTATCGGCCGTAATCCGTTCCAGAAGGTCGGCCGATAACCGAAATGGCCGAAAACCGAATTAATATTTCCCATAAGAATTAATGGAAATACAATTAATCAGAGGTATTGGGAAGATGGAGGGAATATTTTGAGGAATTGTTAAATGTTAATGAAGATAGGGAAGCTGTGATTTCGTGTATAGGGCAACGAGGAATAACATCTTGTAGGAGTGAGGAAGAGCCAGTTGTGAGTGTGGGGGAAGTTCGTGAGGCAGTAGGTAAAATGAAAGGGGGTAAGGCAGCCGGGATTGATGGGATAAAGATAGAAATGTTAAAAGCAGGTGGGGATATAGTTTTGGAGTGGTTGGTGCAATTATTTAATAAATGTATAGAAAGGGTAAGGTACCTAGGGAATTGCAGAGAGCATGCAAAAGGCCTTTGTATAAAGGCAAAGGGGATAAAAGAGAGTGCAAAAATTATAGGGGGATAAGTCTGTTGAGTATACCTGGTAAAGTGTATGGTAGAGTTATAATTGGGAAAAAAATTAAGAGTAAGACGGAGAATAGGGTAGCAGATGAACAAGGAGGGTTTAGGAAAGGTTAGAGGGTTGTGGACCAGGTGTTTACAGTGAAACATATAAGTGAACAGTATTTAGATAAGGCTAAAGAGGTCTTTGTGGCATTTATGGATTTGGAAAAGGGTATGACAGGGTGAATAGGGGGGCAATGTGGCAGATGTTGCAAGTGTATGGTGTAGGAGGTAGGTTACTGAAAGCAGTGAAGAGTTTTTACGAGGATAGTGAGGCTCAAGTTAGAGTATGTAGGAAAGAGGGAAATTTTTTTCCCAGTAAAAGTAGGCCTTAGACAAGGATGTGTGATGTCACCGTGGTTGTTTAATATTTTATAGATGGGGTTGTAAGAGAAGTAAATGCGAGGGTCTTGGCAAGAGGCGTGGAGTTAAAAGATAAAGAATCACACACAAAGGGGAGTTGTCACAGCTGCTCTTTGCTGATGACACTGTGCTCTTGGGAGATTCTGAAGAGAAGTTGCAGAGATTGGTGGATGAATTTGGTAGGGTGTGCAAAAGAAGAAAATTAAAGGTGAATACAGGAAAGAGTAAGGTTATGAGGATAACAAAAAGATTAGGTGATGAAAGATTGGATATCAGATTGGAGGGAGAGAGTATGGAGGAGGTAACAATTCAGATATTTGGGAGTGGACGTGTCAGTGGATGGTCTATGAAAGATGAGGTGAATGATAGAACTGATGAGGGAAAAAGAGTGAGTGGTGCACTTAGGAGTCTGTGGAGACAAAGAACTTTGTCCTTGGAGGCAAAGAGGGGGATGTATGAGAGTATAGTTTTTACCAACGCTCTTATATGGGTGTTGAAGCGTGGGTGATGAATTGTTGCAGCGAGGAGAAGGCTGGAGGCAGTGAGATGTCATGTCTGAGGGCAATGTGTGGTGTGAATATAATGCAGAGAATTCGTAGTTTGGAAGTTAGGAGGAGGTGCGGGATTACCAAAACTGTTGTCCAGAGGGCTGAGGAAGGGTTGTTGAGGTGGTTCGGACATGTAGAGAGAATGGAGCGAAACAGAATGACTTCAAGAGTGTATCAGTCTGTAGTGGAAGGAAGGCGGGGTAGGGGTCGGCCTAGGAAAGGTTGGAGGGAGGGGGTAAAGGAGGTTTTGTGTGCGAGGGCTTGGACTTCCAGCAGGCATGCGTGAGCGTGTTTGATAGGAGTGAATGGAGACAAATGGTTTTTAATACTTGACGTGCTGTTGGAGTGTGAGCAAAGTAACATTTATGAAGGGATTCATGGAAACCGGCAGGCCGGACTTGAGTCCTGGAGATGGGAAGTACAGTGCCTGCACTCTGAAGGAGGGGTGTTAATGTTGCAGTTTAAAAACTGTAGTGTAAAGCACCCTTCTGGCAAGACAGTGATGGAGTGAATGATGGTGAAAGTTTTTCTTTTTCGGGCCACCCTGCCTTGGTGGGAATCGGCCAGTGTGATAATAATAAAAAAAAAAAACAACTAATCAATTCCAGACAAAAATATTTACACAAAAATTTTTTTTTTTAACAATTATGTAAGTTTTACATACTTTTATTGAAGGCTAATGTTGGCTTCTGGAAGATAGGGAAGAGGAAAGAGGGAGGAGTTAGTGTTTGGAAGGGGAATCCCCCTCCATAAATACTTTAGGTATCAAAGCCTTCTCTGGGGTTACTTCCCTTCTTTGTCTTTTAATGCTACTAGGACCAGCTTGAGAGTAACTGGCCCCCTGTCTCACAACAAATCTGTCTATAGAGGTCTGCTTCTGGTGTCTCTCTCAGATTTCCCTGAAGTGGGACAGGCATTTGTCACTGAACATGTTGCAGATATGGCTTGTTTCAGCTTGGTCAGGGTGGTGTTTCTCTACAAAAGCTTGCACCCTAGTCCACATTGCACACACCTCTTTAATCTGTCATTTACTGCTACAGTACATTCATTACTAACCTTAAAATATTTGCATTCTTAATGTAGGACAAGAGGTGAGTAGTTGTTATTTATAGGAAGTCAGTGTAGGTAGCGGTAGATGTGGGTACAGTACACGTATGTAGCTCCCCCAGGCTACACTACACAGCTATATTACCATACACAGCCATATTATTACACTACACAGCCATATTATTACCATGTTCACTGAGTTTAATCATTTCTAACAACTACCTTTAGATGCCATCATAAACAAATGGAGAAGTAATGAATAATTCATGCCAAGAATTGTAAACAAATGCATATAAAGGGTGGTTACCGCACCAGTCGCCAGATTCACAGTTTTCTCTAACACTGCATCAGAGAAAACGTAATGTTTAATCTCCATCCCACTCTCCACTCAATAACATATAAACATTGCATGTTTATATGCTACATGATATGTAACGTGTTTCTTATATAATTTTGAAGAAAATATCATAGATGGATTAATGAAAATGTCTATATTAACATAAAAATAAGACATTTAATGTGGCAAAGAGTGATTATTAAATATACAGTGGACCCTCTCCTAACGAACGCATCGCATAACGTTAAATCCGCCTACGAAGTGTTTGAGCATAAAAATTTTGCCCCGCCTAACGATAAAAAACTCGCCCAACGTGATTCGTCTGGGACCTGTCCACACTGCCCCGTGGGTGCCAGTGTTTACAAGCCAGCCAGTGCAGTCGCATCTACGCATACATTCGGCACATTTCACATTATCCCAGTGTTTTTAGTGCTTGCAACTGCAAAATAAGTCACCATGAACCCCAAGAAAGCTTCTAATGCCAACCCTGTGGTAAAAAGAGCGAGAATTAGTATGGAATTGAAAAAAGAGATTAAGGAAATGTGTGCAAAGTGGGTTGAACTGCAAACCTTTATGGATGAAAAGCACCCTAACACAGGTATTGCAAGCCATGCTGGTGACTATTACAGTGACAATGTTGTGGCCCATTTTAAGCAAATCTTAAAGGAATGCGAGGTACAGAGCTCTATGGACAGAACTGTTGTGTGACAGAGGTCCAGTGACTCTCAAGCTGGTCCTAGTGGCATTAAAAGAAGAAGGGAAGTAACCCCGGAAAAAGACTTGCTACCTCAAGTCCTCATGGAAGGGGGATTCCCCTTCCAAACAATAACAACTTCCACTATCTCCCCTCCTCCCGTCCTATCAATCATCACCAGATCTTCAATAAAGGTAAGTGTCATGTATTCTTTATTTAGTAGAGTAGTAATTGTGCATGTCTTCTTGTTTTTGGGCGTATAAAAATGTATATTTCATGTGGTAATTTTTTTTTTCATACTTTGGGGTGTCAGGAGCGGATTAATTTGATTTCCATTATTTCTTATGGGGAAAATTAATTCGACTAACGATAATTTCGGCTAACGATGAGCTCTCAGGAACGGATTAATATTGTTAGGCGAGGGTCCACTGTACATCACATATAATAAACATTGCATGTTTATATGCTATGTAACATGTTTCTTACATAATTCTGAAGAAGATATAATAGATGGATTAATGAAAATGTCTATATTAACGTAAAATAAGACATTTAATGTACCAGTGATTATTATTATACATTGCATATAAACATTGCATGTTTTCATATACTATGTAACGTGTTTCTTTAGGCCCATGGTTGCTTAGTTTGCAGTTGTACTCAATCAATAACCACAAAAAACAATGAATTATAGCAAAATGTTTGGATGAATGAGTAGAAGCTTCCTCACTCTCCCAGAGACAAAGCCAAACTGACTCGCAAGCGGCCCCAGCCGGCGGATGGGTGCCTCCCAAATGGCCGATAACCGAATTAACGGCTGATAACCGGGTGCCGAAAAACCGGCCAATAACCGAATTGGCCGATAACTGAACAGGCCGATAACCGGGGGTACACTGTACATGTATACGCACTCCTCTCTTCTCCAGGTGCATAAATACTTAGCACAAGCAAAGTATACTGATATAATTTTCAGGTGTGATAACTGAGCTGAAAGTGTGTGCCAGTATATCTTAAGAGGGTAGAAAATGAATAGCTTCCAATACAAACACAAGAAAACAAATACAGTACTACTAAATGGAAAATGGAAATGAAATTCTTTAATTCTTTTGAAACACATAAGGAAGCTATAATTGCAAAAAAGTACCAGAATTTAGAAATGCAAATTTTGTCTGTAGCTTCAGTAATGTTAATGACTCTGTACCTAGACCCTAATGGTGTGTTACAGTTGAATTTCTTGCTTACAGGTATATATATGCATAAACCCTGCTCAAATAATTAAAAATACAAATGAATGGAGATGGCTCTGTATCTGAACCACTGAAATAAACTTGTTTTAGTGGTATAAACATATCATTATCTTTATTTTATCATAAAAGAAAATATTGTAACAAGAAATGCATTAAGTGGTCAGCATGGCTGAGTTAATGCTATTAATATGAGAGAACTCACTAGATACATACTATCTAATGTACATATGAACCTACCTTTAAAAATGGTATCCCAACATGAACAGGTGCACTTGTGTCGGTCGACTTTGTAATTGAACTCATCCCAAAGGTGTGAAATTATACCAAAGTGGAAGAAAGGTAATGTGATTGTAACCAAAAAGCCAATAAAAGCTGCCACAGCTGCAGACTTGGAAATCCATTGTCTTGATGTATCTGAATTGTGACTGTGAAGAGGCAGCAGATCCATCTGTTGTAAATACAGAATGCTTTACAAAAAAATATTATACTTTATACAGTACAGAGCATTTCTAAAAAGTTGCATATAGTGAAATCTGGAATCCCATGTTACGAAGTCTTTAATTAGGCTTAGGGTATATAATACACAATTTTTTACAACATTCTTGAGGGCACACATAATATGGCATATAGAGATATTAATTTTGCTAGAATACAATGGGATTTTATTCTAAAAGTCTTTTCTCTCTATTAGTTTTCAGATAACATTGTACAGGTCAGTCATCACTAATCCGGCAACCACTAATCTGATTCCATCAGTAATCTGGCACTAATTTCGGCTAGAGTAATTTCAAATTTCCGGGGTCACCGCACCAACCAGCTGCTACTGTTTGGTGGAGCTTTTTGCTGCATAAGTCATCCCAATTTGTTTATCTTCATTTATTATTAACATCTCCTTTTACCCCTTCAGGGTTTTCCAATAAATTTAAAAAAAATTTGTTTTCTTCCCTGTTAAAGCAAAAAAACCCTTTAAACTTTTCCATAAAAGTTTAGGGGGGCTTTGAACCCACTTTTGGGCCCCGTTGTATGACACCATGAACCCACTCATTCAGATAAGCGGTACCAAAAAATTTTGGGCCCTATATATGAAGAATGGGGCCCTGTTTTTTGGAAAAGTGTGCACTATTTAAAAAAAAATTTCCTACATCAAGCAGTGCATGAGAAAAAAAGGCAACTGTGGTTTTTTGGGGGAAAAAAAACTTTGCAGTTTAATTTTTTTATGGGGTTTTTTGGTCCTAATTTTCATTTTTTTTTTGGGCCCAAATTTTATTTAAAAGGAAAGATACATGTTTTCAGGGAAAAAGATTGATTTTGATGATACAGGAAGGGAAAATACTTTTTAAAAATTTAGGTCAAGGTTGTGGAAATGTTTTTAATTTTTTTTCCGAATGTTCGAGTAAACAACAAGGGACGGGTCCCCCAAAACGGTCCCAAAGGGGCCCATCTAATACGCGTTCACCAAATGGGTTTTATTTATACCCAAATTTTTACAATAATGGGAGTTGGGCTGTATAACAATAAATCTTCTATTTTTTTGTGTGAATAAAAACTTCAAAATGGAAAGCAAGCGTAATATAAGAGGGGCCTGGAGACGTGACTAATAAACAGAGAAAATGTTATTTTAGTGCCAGGAATGTCTGCATTGTTTGTTCTGGATCCTATTTTGAAATCGGCATCTCTTGAAATTTATGTGAAATTGGCCAAATTACCAATTTCTGATCACTTTATTGGTTAGCTGAAATAGGTAAATGTGCATTTTCTTGTAATCAATTGACAGAATAGAAGGAATACCAGTGAAACAGGTATGAGTTTGGTCAACTGGAATGGAATGGGCCAAAAACAGGGCGTAAAGTGAGTGAAATGCCGATGTGTAAATATTGCCATTGGGTTAAGGGTATTCTAACTTAACAACCCTGTAATCCGGCACCCTACTCGTCCCGAGGATACTGGATTAGTGACGGTCAGCCTGTATCATATTCTAACCAAATCCCATTATGTAAAGTATTTCAAGCAGGCTAATTTTAGACTAAGAATTACTTAGGTTAGGTAAGGTTCATCAGGAAACAGGAGCATCAGGAAACAGGATCCAACGGCGGGTAATCAGATGATGATCCGCCATTGGAGCTTGTGGTCATCTGACCGAGACCTTCCGCTGATTTACCGGTGCACCCATTTAAAAATTAATGATTATCATTATAACCATTTTTTAGTATAAGAATTACTTACATTTAACATGCATAATAAGGGTTCATGTGACAAATGAGGATGAATATCTTTATGCATACTGTAAAATTTAGGGAACTGATTAAATACAGTATAACTAAGAGTATGGATTCACTGAATAGGGATGATAATGATCAGGCGTAAACTTAACCTGTGGAATGATTGTGACAAATGGCTTCTTTAAGTACAGTAGTGTGCATATCAATTGGGATATTGATGAAATAAGACATTTATTTGGAAAATTAATGTTTATTTGAAAAATACACGGTAATGATATGACAGATAATTGATTTAATAAAAAATATGACTACCCTTTGCTTTTATAAGTATTACTACATGCTTTGGCATAGAGCTGGCCAATGTTGAACACATTTTGGCAAGTTCATCAACGTGATACCAGGTCCTAATAACAGAAGCAATTAGCTTCTCTACAATTGAAGTCCTGTTTTGCAATCTTGTGTTTGGTTATTGCCCACAGAATCTCAATAGGGTTGAGGTCAGGAGAATTTCTGGGCCAAATAAGAACACTTAGCCCACTCTTCAAAGAATGTCAGCATTTTTCTGGAAGTGTGGCATGGAGCAAGATAATGAAAGAAATGCCTCTATCCAGGATGGGAAGCAAATGAGTTGCCAGGATTGCCTTGTATTTGTCACTGTTAATTGTTCACTCAACAATAACAAGCCCTCCAGGGCCTTTACCAGTAAAACTACCAAAACATCTTAAGTGGATGTTTTGGCACTTGTTAAATGTATCCATTCTGTCTCACTACCACTGATCTGTACCCATGTACTTCAGAATGTGCCTCAGCTGAAAATAACTTTTCTCCATTCATCTATCGTTTATCCCTTATGACTGAGTGCCCACTGCAGCCGTTAATAATAGTTTCTTTACTGGCTTTCTGGCAGTTATACCAACTTCAAGGAACCTTCATCGAACAGTTAAAGAATCAACATTTAAGCCAGCTGAAACCAAATCTCTTTGCAGATCTCTGCTGGTTTTCTCTGGATCCTTCACACTATTTCTTATAACCTTGTAATCATAAGGTCTTGTTGTCTTGTGTTTTCTTCCATAACTTCCTCAATGCAGCACTCCACAATCACCAGTGTTGTCAGCTCTCTTCAAAATCCAACCAACAGTTGACCTGCTAGGCTTAAATTTTTGGTGATCTGTCTGATACTCAAATCAGAATGTTGTATATGACCTACAATACTTGCGTGTTTCCTAGGTGTAACATCCACCATGAATTTCAACAGTAATCATGGATTGAAGGGGAGAATTTGCCACAACCACATTCACTTATAGATCATGCTTGCAGGAATAGCCTTACAAAACAACAGTTGTTGTAGCAAGGTAACACCACAGTTGGATGGTTGCCGGAAGTCGGTAGCAAACTTTTCTGAAAAGAAATGAACCCAAACTATGTACAATAATTAAGCCGGAGACTAAGACATAGTATGAAATAGTCACAAAATTTACTCCTGTCCCAATTAATTTGCACACTACTGTACAAGGCTCTACACAAGAGCAATATAAAGGAGAGGAGGTAGGAGATAGTAGAGAGAGAGTGTAGCAAATCATTACGGCAAGTTGGTAGGAGGTACTTTTTGACAATATTCTTGAAGCAGAAGGTAAATCAAAGAGTTCTAGCACCTGTTGGTAGGAAGTTAAATACAGTATTACTGGGTCTTTTACATGCATGGGATTCTTAGTTAGGTTGAGACAAATGCGTGAGATGTCAAAGGATACTACAAGTTTTCCTAGTGAACTTGCATTTTTCTAGGGAAAACTTGCATTCAGTGTTCTGTATGTGCAAGAAAAGGTATGAATATTTTGTATTGTGAGTATATTTAAACTTTAGAATAGCAGGAGGGGGGAAGGGAAAAGAGTGCTGTCAAGGACTGGGCTGTGTAATTGTTCTGATGCCAGTGATGGTAACTTTTTGTTGTGTTAAGGCAAGCTTGAATTGATTAGCCATTGTAGAGTACATGGAAATAAGTAACTTTGATTTTTGGGGGGTTTTCTTAGGTAATTTACACATATGTTACTTATATGTATATGGTAATTTGAGTAATTGTATTTATGTGTACCTGTACATAAATAAACATACTTAATAGGTGAGGTACAGATAGACTAGTAGTAGTAGTACTAGTAGTTAATAATAATAATAATCTTTATTTCTATTAGTACATGATACAACTTATACAGACATCAATGACATACTACATATATGGAAAGCCCCCTTGTTATTCAGAGCATTTCAGGTAAATTATGCCAATTTTGTCCCCAGGATGCGACTCACACCAGTCGGCTAACACCCAGGTACCTATTTAATGCTAAGTGAACAGGGACAGCAGGTGTCTTAAGGAAACATACCCTAATGTTTCCACCCGTACTGGGGATCGAACCACAGACCTCAATGTGTGAGTTGAGTGTATTACCAACCGAGCAACACGAGAGAGTAAGAATGTTTGTGGTATACTTGGAGGGTACTCTGGGGGTCAACGCCCCCACGGCCCTGTCCATAACCAGGCCTTACCTATGGGCTGATAGATTTCCAGAATGAAAATAAAAAAAATGTATTAGTATTAGATACAGGACTTTAAAAACACAGTACAAGAAAAAGCAACTTTGATATTATGCCCACTATTTTGGGTTATCTTCGGTTAAATTAAGAAAATATACTATACAATATATGAAAGCCAACAACATATATGTGCCATCAGTCCCTCCCCCTCCCCCCCCCCAAAAAAAAAATTATACCTCTGCTATGTTGTTAGGGTTCTTCAGGGCCACTACAGCTGAAGCTTTATTGAACCCTGATTCACGGGGCACCGGGAAAAAATATATTCAAATTCAAATTCAAATTCAAAGTTTATTCTCTATAAGGATTACAATGCTGAGTTTACAGAAATTTGGTTATTGTGTGGTTTACATGTAGTAAAATTGTGATTACAGAGTGTACCACTAGAACACCTAGCATGGCTAGGCATTTCGGGCATACTTAGTTTTATTCTTTATTGCAAAATATTACAAATTATGAGGTAAGTTGGTATTATGGCTAAGTGACTAAATACTAGTTTGTGAGTTTAGCAATGTGACTGCTTTTGTTTTGGCACAATACATAGTTTCAGTATTGGAGTATCATAGGATTCATTATTTTAAGACTGAGATTAATATTTCTGTTTATGGTCAAATGGGTGAGTGAGTGTAAGTGTGAACCACCAGGTGGTATTCGTGTAGTTAGTTGATGGGGTGTATCAGGGAGATAAGATGTTTTCTGATGGTAGTTTTGAAGGTGATGAATGTGTCTGCAGTTCTAGAGTTCTCAGGTAGGGTGTTCCAGATTTTAGGGCCTTTGACAACATTGAATTTTTGTAAAGGTTTAGTCGGACACGGGAATGTCGTAGAGATGTTTGTGTCTGGTGTTATGCCTGTGGGTTCTGTCACAACTATCAAGAAAGCGTTTTAGGTCAAGGTTGATATTAGAGTTTAAGGCCCTGTAGATGTAGATTGCACAGTAGTAAGTGTGGATGTACTGAACTGGGAGTAAGTTTAGGTCTATGAAGAGTGGGGGGTGTGTGTTGCCAGGGATGGGATTTAGTGATTATTCTTACTGCAGCTTTTTGTTGGGTTATTATTGGCTTTAGGTGTATTGCTGCAGTTGATCCCCAAGCACAAATAGCATAGGTGAGGTATGGATAAATAAGTGAGTGGTATAGTGTGAGAAGGGCATTTTGCGGCATGTAGTATAGTATCTTGGAGAGGATCCCAACCGTTTTGGATACTTTTTTGGTTATATGCTGGATATGGGTGCTGAAACTCAGGTTGTTGCCAAGGTATAAGCCTAGGAATTTGCCCCCATTATTTCTGGTAATTAGAGTGTTGTCAGTCTTAATGTTAATTTGTGCATCTCCTGCTCTGCTACCAAACATAATATAGTAGGTTTTGTCAGTGTTAAGGGTAAGTTTATTGGCTGTCATCCAAGTCGATATTTTAATCAGCTCCTCATTCACAATGGTGTTGAGGGTGGCAAGATTAGGGTGAGAGATGACATAAGTCGTGTCGTCAGCAAAGAGAATGGGTTTCAGGTGTTGGGATACGTTTGGAAGGTCATTGATGTATATGAGGAAGAGCAGGGGACCAAGGACACTTCCCTGCGGAACTCCAGTATCAAGTGGCCGTGTTGCTGATGCTGTGTCTTTAAGGGTGACATACTAAATACCTATTAGTAAGGTAAGATTTGAAATAAGCAAGCGCATGGCCTCTTATACCATAATGATCAAGTTTGTGGAGTAGGATGTCGTGGTCTACTGTGTCAAAAGCTTTTCTTAGGTCAATAAAAATTCCTAGTGGATATTTCTTATTTTCCAATGCTGTGTAAAGCAGATCTAGCATTTTTATGATTGCATCATTAGTGCTTTTATTTTTCCTGAATCCAAATTGGCAGGGGTTGAGTATGTTTTGAGCCGTTATAAATGAATACAGTCTCCTGTGCATGAGTTTCTCAAAGATTTTGGATAGCAATGGTAAGTTAGATATTGGCCTATAGTTGTTTAAGTCTGTAGGGTCACCACCTTTATGTATTGGTGTAACCCTTGCCATCTTGAGTAGTTTCGGGAAGGTGCTAGTCTCTAGTGACTTGTTAAAAAGTAATGAAATAGCATGCGAAAGGACATGGGCCGCTCGCTTGTACAGTAATGGTGGGACATGAGACAGATTCCCCGAGTTATTTTTAAGTGACTTTATAATCTCAGTGACTTCCGTGGGCTCAGTTTTGTTCGAGAATGAGGAAGGAACAAAAGTTTCCTCGGGAAAGAGAAACGGAACATGAAACTCGCAACTTAGATCAGATGGATCCCAAGCCTAAACCCCGCTAGTGTATTACTGCCAGAACAACACTGAGCCCAATAAATAATAATGATGATGATGATGATGTTGATGATGAAGATGACCTGGAGTTTACCTGGAGAGAGTTCCGGGGGTCAACGCCCCCGCGGCCCGGTCTGTGACCAGGCCTCCTGGTGGATCAGAGCCTGATCAACCAGGCTGTTGCTGCTGGCTGCACGCAAACCAACGTACGAGCCACAGCCCGGCTGGTCAGGAACCGACTTTAGGTGCTTGTCCAGTGCCAGCTTGAAGACTGCCAGGGGTCTGTTGGTAATCCCCCTTATGTATGCTGGGAGGCAGTTGAACAGTCTCGGGCCCCTTCGGGCACCTTCAAAACTAGGGAGGCCAAGCCCATGGTGACACTCTTCAGGTCACTTGTCTTATCTAGGCTGGAATATTGCTGCACACTAACAACACCTGTCAAGGCAGGTGAAACTGCTGACCTAGAAAATGTACAGAGCACCTTCACGGCGCGCATAACGGAGATAAAACACCTCAATTACTGGGAGCGCTTGAGGTTCCTAAAACTGTATTCCCTGGAACGCAGGCAGGAGAGATACATGATCATACACACCTGGAAAATCCTAGAGGGACTAGTACCGAACTTGCACACGAAAATCACTCACTACGAAAGCAAAAGACTTGGCAGACGATGCACCATCCCCCCAATGAAAAGCAGGGGTGTCACTAGCACGTTAAGAGACCATACAATAAGTGTCAGGGGCCCGAGACTGTTCAACTGCCTCCCAGCACACATAAGGGGGATTACCAACAGACCCCTGGCAGTCTTCAAGCTGGCACTGGACAAGCACCTAAAGTCAGTTCCGGATCAGCCGGGCTGTGGCTCGTACGTTGGCTTGCGTGCAGCCAGCAGCAACAGCCTGGTTGACCAGGCTCTGATCCACCAGGAGGCCTGGTCACAGACCGGGCCGCGGGGGCGTTGACCCCCGGAACTCTCTCCAGGTAAACTCCAGGTAAACAACATGATTGAGGTTCAGACATGTATGCGTGGAGCCCCAGACCGACATAATGAGATTAGTCACGAGGGAGCATTCACCAAATTCAACTTCAATAACAAAAACATAAAGTGGGACCAAGTAAACCAAGTCCTAACCGATATAAGCTGGGAAGATATACTAAGCAACACAGACCCCAACTTATGCCTAGAACAGATTAACTTGGTGGCACTCGATGTATGCACAAGGCTTATTCCTCTAAGAAGGAGGAGTAGATGTAAAATAGAAAGAGACAGGTGCTCTCTTTACAGGCGACGGAAAAGAATAACAGAGCAGCTAAAAGAGGTCAATATATCTGAAATGCGTAGGGAGACACTGTTCAGAGAAATAGCAAGCATCGAACTTAAGCTAAAGGAATCTTACAGGAGTCAGGAATCGCGGGAAGAACTAAAAGCCATAAATGAAATCGAAAGAAACCCAAAGTATTTCTTCTCCTATGCCAATCAAAGTCGAGAACAACGTCCAGTATTGGGCTCCTACTTAAACAAGATGGGTCCTACACAGATGACAGCAAGGAAATGAGTGAGCTACTCAAGTTCCAATATGACTCAGTTTTTAGCAAGCCGCTAACCAGACTGAGAGTCGAAGATCAAAATGAATTTTTTATGAGAGAGCCACAGATTTTGGTTAACACAAGCCTATCCGATGTTATCCTGACGTCAAATGACTTCGAACAGGCGATAAATGACATGCCCATGCACTCTGCCCCAGGGCCAGACTCATGGAACTCCGTGTTCATCAAGAACTGCAAGAAGCCCCTATCACGAGCCTTTTCCATCCTATGGAGAGGGAGCATGGACACGGGGGTCGTCCCACAGTTACTAAAAACAACAGACATAGCCCCACTCCACAAAGGGGGCAGTAAAGCAACAGCAAAGAACTACAGACCAATAGCACTAACATCCCATATCATAAAAATCTTGAAAGGTCCTAAGAAGCAAGATCACCACCCATCTAGAAACCCATCAGTTACACAGCCCAGGGCAACATGGGTTTAGAACAGGTCGCTCCTGTCTGTCTCAACTATTGGATCACTACGACAAGGTCCTAGATGCACTAGAAGACAAAAAGAATTCAGATGTAATATATACAGACTTTGCGGAAGCCTTCGACAAGTGTGACCATGGCGTAATAGCGCACAAAATGCGTGCTAAAGGAATAACAGGAAAAGTCGGTCGATGGATCTATAACTTCCTCACTAACAGAACACAGAGAGTAGTCGTCAACAGAGTAAAGTCCGAGGCAGCTACGGTGAAAAGGTCTGTTCCACAAGGCACAGTACTCGCTCCCATCTTGTTCCTCAGCCTCATATCCGACATAGACAAGGATGTCAGCCACAGCACCGTGTCTTCCTTTGCAGATGACACCCGAATCTGCATGACAGTGTCTTCCATTGCAGACACTGCAAGGCTCCAGGCGGACATCAACC